AAGGCCAAGTCTAGCTGCCCATTACACTTTGGTGTTCAGACGATCTCCATCAACGGAAATCAGAAACGTCTCAGAGTCGGCAAATTTTTTAAACCGTAAGTCCTAATCCTAACTATAGATTCCGCTGCGTTAGGATTTATTATTCAATAGATTTGAATGTGCACATTGTCGACGTTCCTAATAGAACCCAACACGCATAACGGTTATCCCAGTCTTTTTCGGCACCACTTGAGTTGGGCTAACCCAACCACTGTCTGAAATCACATAGATAATCCCCACGTCCAGAAGCTTCAGGACCTCAGCTTTCACGACTTCTAACACCACCGGATTCAAGCGGCGTTGGGGTTGATGAACAGGTTCAGCTCCCGTTTCCAGTAAAATGCGATGCGTGCAAATTGAGGGACTTATTCCCTTTATATCCGAGATGGTCCAACCCAATGCTTTCTTGTGAGACTGGAGAACTGCCACGAGCTCTTCTTCTTGAGTCTTGGTAAGCTTGCTCGAAATAATCACTGGAAGTGTGTTTCCGTCTCCCAGGAACACATACTTGACATGGTCGGGCAAAGGCTTCCGTTCCTTGATAGGTGTCTGCAAAATGGAAGGTGGGGATTTTCGTTAGTATCGAAAGAAATAATACCAATAGACTCACCTCTACCATTGGTCCCTAAACCCTCATCCGTCATCACGTCATTGTCCAATTTATTGGCTTGTCCTGGAGAAATGCTAGGTAGTGAGTTGTCTGCCAAATTGCTAATGACGTCTTCCACGGTATTATCCTTCGAGAGTGAAAACATTTCCTGAGCCAATTCATCAACCAAGTCAATAGAGAATACAGATTCATCATCACCAGGATATTTCATGGAATTGTATATATTAAATTTAATTAATTGATCATCAAATTCCATGGTAAGAATTCCATTATGCACATCAATCATGGTTTTAGACGTTTTTAGAAAAGGTCTTCCAAGTAAAATAGGAGTAGCAACATTGTTATTCTCCATATCAAGAACATAAAAATCTGCTTGAAAAACCAAGTCTTTAACTTGAACAAGCACGTCCTCAACCAAACCATTCGGAAACGCATTGGACCTGTCCGCCAATTGAATGATAACTCCTGTGGGACTTAAGGGTCCGAGCTTCAAAGAACTATAAATCGCATATGGCATTACATTAACAGAAGCTCCCAAGTCCAACATAGCTCTTTCAAAATGTGTTCCACCAATGACACAAGGAATCGAGAACATACCTGGGTCTTTACATTTCGTGGGAAGCTTCCGTTGTAAAACAGCGGAGACATTCTCACTTACCTTAACTTTCTCATGGCGTTTGACTTGTTGTTTGCGCTTAACTGTACACAACTCCTTCAAAAATTTTGCATAGTGGGGCACTTGCTTGATGGAATCTAGCAACGGGATGTTCACCTCGCATCTCCGAAACGTCTCGTAAATATCTCGGATAGGCCCATCTTTCTCATGTCGAACCAGTGCCTGTGGGAATGGTGGTTCAGGCTTATACTCGGAATAGGTCGAATTCTTAACCTTCTTGATGCTCTTTTCAGCTCCCAGATCAGTTTTGTCTCCAGTTCAGGTTTACTATGAACATGGTCAGTGACATGGCCATGTTGGTTGTCCAAACCTGCTGCTTCCAACTGCTGCTCGTGAGATTTCTCATTTATCTGCTCCAACTCTTTGCCACTACGTAAGATCATGGCACTCACATTCTTAGGGTTCACCTCAGGTTGAGATGGGAGCTTTCCACTAGCTTGTGCCTCCAAACGATTCACAGAGGTTGCGAGCTGACTTACTTGAGTTTCAAGGGTCTGCATGCTAACTTTGGTTTCCTTTTGAAATTGTAGAGTACTGGAGGCTAGTTGCTTCACGATGTCTTCAAGAGAAGTGACAGAATCAGCGCTTGGGGGCTGCTCGGGTGGTGCTTGTCTGCGAAATATTTGAGGGGGACGTTGCTGGAAACTGCCACCATGGTTCGGGCCAGGTTGCTGGTAAAATGAGTTCTCATACCTCAAGTTTGGGTGATCGCGCCAACCAGGATTATATGTACTCGAGAATGGATCATATTGTTGCTTCCGGGGAAAGTTCCCATTTGTACCGACTGCATTCGCATGTGCCTCGATTTCATTCTCTATCACGGGACAAGAGTCGGTATCATGATCGGTGGAGGCACATATTCGACAAGGCTTCACTGCCTTCATTCCTCCAACAGATAAGTGTTTCACCAAAGTTGTTAGTTCCATAAGCTTTTCCTCTACAACAGAGTTATTTGCTACCGTCCCCGCTTTAAGTGTCACATTGTTACGGGTGCCAAATTGTTGTGAGTTCGCTGCCATGGTGGCAATTATACGACTCGCTTCGGCCGGTGTCTTATCGACAAGGGCTCCACCACTTGCAGCATCAACCATATTCCTGTCCATCAATTCCAAACCCTCGTAGAAATATTAGATCAGTAGTTGCTCGCTAATTTGATGTTGCGGGCAGCTCGAGCACAATTTCTTGAAACGCTCCCAATACTCGTATAAGTTCTCCCCATGTAATTGTTGCACCCCGCATATCTCCTTACGTATGTTGGAAGCTCGGGATGATGGAAAGTACCTCTCCAGGAAAAGTCGTTCCATTACCTCCCATGTTTCAATCGAGCCCGACGGAAGGTAGTAAAGCCAATCCTTGGCCGCATCATTCAATGAAAAAGGGAAGGCTCGCAACTTGATTTGTTCTTCTGTGATACCTGTTGGTTTCATGCTCGTGCAAACCAAGTGAAGCTTCTTCAAGTGCTTGTATGGATCCTCGCCTGCATGTCCATAAAACGAAGGTAAATAATGAATTAGCCCAGATTTCAATTCAAAAGTAATGGTATCATCTATAGCAGGAAAAGTAATGCAAAGGGGCTGAATATCCAAATTAGGAGCTGCCAGCTCCTTTAATGTTCTATTCGCATTTGCCATCTGGACCACGTCCAAGTCTTCTTCTTCTTCTAAATCCTCTTCCGAATCACTGTTAATCTCGAATAAGCTGGTAAGTGTCCCCTCGTCGATGTCTACAGGGGCTGCCCTCCTTCTTGCTTCTTTTCTCAATCTCTTAGCTGTTTTCTCAATTTCTGGGTCAAATTGAATATCTTCGACAACACTGGAACGCGTCCCGATCATCAACTGCCAAGAAAATAAAAATCAACTAACCAAGCTGTTAGAGAAGTAAAAGATAGCAAAGGAAAGACAAGAGAAACTATAATAAATAAATATAAAATAATAATAATAACAATAATATCACACAATCAAAGATTTAATTAAAAAAAAATTCCCCGGCAACGGCGCCAAAATTTTCATAGCTTACCACAGCTTACCACACCATGGCCACAGCTTATCACACCATGGCGTCCCGAGAATTTGAAGATGCTTCATTCACCATTCACCTCGGGTAGGATCACTCCTTGTACTTGTACTAGGAATCTAAAGAGACGCACACGTCATAATGGAGATGAGGATTTGAGATCGATTGTGATGGAGATGCAGACGGATATTCGAGAGCTCCTGCTCCTGATGCGTGCAAGGCAACCGCCTCCACAATTATGAATCTCTGTGAGTATTCCTCTATTCTCTAGACTTTCATTTGGAATTTGCTTGCAGTTGTTTTTGATGGGGCGTTGTTTATGTGATATGATAGTGTATTGTGCATAATCTATTATTTCGCTTGTGATTGTTATCGATTCATTTATGCCAATTTGTTAGAACAATCGATCTTCTTCCATCTCCACACTGTGTTTTTGCTCCCACTGTGGTCGCCAAAAATTTGGTCGTGCTGTCGTAGGCACCCAAATTAACCTTGCTTAAAAGTATGTAGTAGCGTGAGCAAGGATCGTATCCACGGGGAGAAGTAAAACAAATCTATCAACTATGTGATCAAAGAGGAAGGAATTTGAATTGGTTATCTAACTAAACTAGAAATTACCTATCAAACACTAAATAAAAATAATAATAAAATAAAAATAAATGAACAAAAATAAATATAATATGAATCTGCCTTGGTTGAATTGATTTCCACCTTAAATTGTCCCACTGATCATTGATGCAAAAATGTAAATTCACAATCCACGCAATTGTCGTTGAATATAAATTCTATCTCCTAAATTAGTCACGCAAAATAAATCCTTCTACGAGACTCTTATAACTAGTTAACTCCCAACATCGTGAAGAATTATTCTAGCAATAGCATTAAATACAAAAGACCGACAATCCAAGTAATAAATAACTAATCCGTTAAATATCAACTTGTTCAATTGTTTCGCCTAAGAACGACAACGCCTAAATCCGGTCAATTATCAATCTTAGTTGCTTCTAGCGAAAGACACATGATCTAAATCCGACTCAAGTATCACTCAAGCAATAGATCATAAAAATAGAATAATAGGTGGCCAATCTATCACCTAAGCATAACAATCAAAAAAATATCCACACGAAACATTGATGCGAAAATATATGAATTGGAACAAAAACTAATTCGATCTCACAATAGTAGGTCTGGGGTTTCAATCGTCTTCAACCAAGACAAAGATAAATTAGCCGCGTAGGGCTATCATAATCAAAGAGAAAATAATAATAATAAAAACAAGAAGAAGAGAGAGTCGCTGATGTTGTGCTCTGTTCTTGC